CCTGCCAACACTGAGTGAAAATCAGACAAGGACTCACCTGGCTTTATTCTGTCAGAAGATTGTCTCTCACCACAGAGCTTTTGAATTTCTCTGGTTTTCTCAGTGACTTGTGGGTAGTTTCACATTTACTTGTGAAAAAGCAGTAGCTTTCATTTTAGGCCATTTTGCAGTGTACTTTTTTATTAGTAATATTATTTTGTTATTGTTGTTTACAGGCGGTCTCTAAATGTGTATTTTTTAACAGCTTTTCTAACTTCATCACATAAATTGGTGCTTCAAATTACAGTATTTGCCATTCTTCGCATTTTTGTGGTCGTAAGTATTTCCATGACTCACAGCCTGGTTGCTCCTTCTCAGAAGAAGTAATCTCTACTTCTGTATTAGTTTCAGCAAATTTATTTTGTGCATCATTGTGTCATCATCTGTGTAGCTAGAAATACAGAAAGGATGTAGGTACAGTACTTAGTTAAAGAGAGTAACAACAGATTGCAAATGCTTTACTGTCAATGTGAAATCAACTCATAGCTGATTTTCCAGTGGGTTTTCAGAGGCTATAAATCACACGGGAGTTAAGTGCCCAGTTTTCTCCTGAGAAACTGCTGGTGGATTCAAACCAGCAGAGAAGCTCTCTACTGACTGCTAGATTTTCCCTTTAAACAGAATAGAATAAAGAATAAGAAAAAAAGAATAGGAGTAATTTTTATGTATGAGTGTTATGAAAGTCTAAAATTTTTATGGTGTAAAAAGCTATTTCAGTAGAACAAAGGAGAATTTCACAGACAGATGAAGTTTAGAGAATTTAATGCTAATGAGGAGGAACATCTTATAGATGTGTGGCTATGTAAAAACTATGTGATAACTTCAGGGAGTTGAGTGAATGTTTAGAGATTTTTAAAGTTTTCTTTTATTGTCAATGTATATAGAAAACATACACCAATTTAGCCTTTTCTATGTGTCCAGTTTAATGCCTTGGAGTACACTCTTGGACTTGCTCATCCATGCTCATCCCCCTTTCTTACGTTTTAACAAGCACACTGCCTCCTAAGTGTGCCACCAGCTGACGTCTCACATTGCTGTAATCACTTTGATCCTGTATATATTGGTCATAAAATAACACAGTGTTCAAGGCACATATTCTTTATTAATTAAGGTAAATTGTTGTTTGGTCTGAAGACCACTTCAAAGGATCATTTTAATTTAAGGTTTGAGGGTTATCCAAGGGCAAGTTTCATGGGTTTATCAGACTCCATGGCTCTAGAATGTCAAGTCCATGAAAATTGGAAATTTTGTTCTTCATTTGTCTCCTTTTGATCAGTTTGGCTTCTTTGGGATCCTTGATTGAACACCAACCTGTTCTGATCTTTCAACAAAGGAAATAGTTGTTTATAGAGGTTTTAGATAAATTTGAAGAAAATTATCATCATTAAAATAGAGTTTTCTTATCAGTTAACATGGGTTACCCTTCCCCCTTTTTAACCTGATTTGTTTTTTCTGCCATATTTTTAAGTTTCCTGTGTTTGGGTCTTACACATATTTTGTAAAAATAGTATTTGTTGGTGTTTCAATTGATAAAAAAGTAAAAATATTCTAGTTATTTTTCATTAGATAAACTGTTGATGTTTATATGCTGGACAACTTGATAAACTGTTTTTTCTGATATTTTAGATTCTTTAATAATTAACATTCTTTACAAATAGTGATAGTTTTATTTCCTTCTTTCCAATTCTCTTTAACTCCTTGTTGGTTTTGTTAGGACCTTTAGTATAGTGTATGTATACAAGTGGGTGTAATAAACATTTTCATCTTTTAATTTTAAAAATAGTTTCAAGATGCTGTGCTGCAGTCCTGAAGGCAGGCAGTTCTAATCCACCATCTGCTCCAAGGAAGGATGGGCATTCTCCTCTCTTGTGATTAAACTGCCTCTGAATACCCACTGGATGGTCAGCTATGGGTTAATGCCGATTCCACCCTACTCAGCAACAACAAATGCTTTCTTAGGATGGCTTCTGCTTTGGAGTCTCAGATGCTTTTCTGAGAAAACACTTTTATTTCTTTTGGGGGAATAAAAGTAATTTTTCATCAGAAAGCTTTTTTTGCATTCATTCATGTAGCACCTTAGAATTCATTCTTGTAGCATTTTTTTTCAAGTCTTTTGCAACACAAAGGTAAACAAGGTAACAATTTCTGCTTTTATAGTGGTTATAACTTTGATTTTTCTCCTTCTGTTTTGTTGCTTATCGTTGTTTGAATTGTTGACCATTATCATGACAATAAGAGAGTTGCTTAGTAGATATTAGGTGCCTTTGGGTCAGTGATAACTCTAGCGACTCTGTGAACAGAAGATTGAAGCCCTGCTCTGTCCTGTGCCATCCTCATGATCCACGCCCAAGTTCCTTGTTTCAGTCACTGTAGTTTTAACTACTTCAAGGCCAACTCTCTTCACTGACCCTGTACTTTCCCAGTCTAGATGCCTTTTTCCAAGGACTGATACCTCTCACAACATGTCCAGAGTATGTTTGTCCATATGGTTGATACCTAAATTTAGATTGTTTCTACCTTTTAGTGTTTATGCATAAGGCATAAAATATTTGTGACCAAGGGCTTCGATGAGTGTTTTCAGTCCTGAGCAGTGATACTGCAGGCTCATATGACTAAGTGTTTGGCTTTTTGAGGAACTGTTCAAACTGCTCTCCACAGTGACTGCAGGACCTCACATTCCCACAGAAGTGTGCATACAGACACTGATTTTTTCACATCTTCACAACTTAGTAATTATTTACTTTTGTTTGTAGCCAGCTTACAAAAAAGAAGAAAACAAACCCACACCACTGTTGGCTCTGACTTGTGATCACTGTATTGGGTATCTCAGGGTGTATCAGATGCATGTCACCTCCCTTGTCTTTATACTTCGTAGCAGCCAGGGGACCTGAGCCTCCAACTCTTCCAGTTGGTCCAACATGTAACACTCTTGTCCTCTTCATGTGTGAGAAATGGTGTTTAATTTTGGCCTAGTTTTGACTTTCCCTAATTACTGAGGAAAAGTACTCTTATGCTGCAGGGCAAAACTCAATGGAGAGTTGCCATCAACTTGATGGCAGCAAACTTGGCTGTTTTGGGATGACTGATGATGAGGGAGCTCTGGTAGACTGATGTTAAGGAGCTGTACTGCCAGCTAAAAGGTACAGGGTTCCAGTCCACCAGCTGCTTCGTGGGAGAAAGATAGCCGGGAAGTCTTCTCCTATACAGTGCTGCCTCTGAAAAGCTGCTGGAGGGTCAGCTATGAGTCATTTCTGATTCAGCACAGAGCAGAAACAAAATGGGGGGGGAGGGTAATTTTGATAAATTCAAATTAACTGATTCTTTGATTGTTTATGTTTGCAGTATTACAGCTAAGAAACTATTAACAATCCAACATCACCAAGTTAACTATGTTTTCTTGTTTTTTTATAACTTTACAATTAAAGTTTTATAATTTTAGATCTTCCAGTTTCCAATCTTTGATGCATTTAAAGGTAGCTTTTATATATGCTATGAGGTAGTGGTTAGATGTTATCTACTTTGTTTTTTATTAAGTGGTAGCCCTAGATTTTTACCACCTCACTAAATCTCAAGGTGTTAAAGAAGTCGGAGGTCATAATAGTAATACAAAATCTCTTAATACTTTTACTTTAATCTTTCTTTTACTTAGTGTTACAGCACTCTAAAATTTTATGCAGTGGAATTTAAATGATTTGAGCTGAGTTGCTTTTCTTTACTCTCTGTGCTTATCCAGGTTTCCCCACACATTCTGCTGGTCCATGCCTTTCATGGGAAGAGTTAACTTCAGTTCTCAGCTTGTATTTCTTTAGCTCCCCTATATTTTAGGAAAACACACTGCTAGTGTTTTCTGAATTACTAGATAATGTAAGCACATCCCTGTTAAGAATTTTCCTGTTACCAGGTGAATTTTAGTAACATGTTGGGTTGCGAGGTATCTTAAAACTTTAAAGATGAAAGCACTTACTAATTTTCCCAGTAGCCAATAATTATTCCTGTAGGAGCTGATTCCCCCCACCTCCGAAGCATAAGGGCTGTAGATAATCCTTTTCCTGCTCTGCTCAGTTTGAATTCTGTTTGCATTCATGCTTCTCTTTTACAATGTGTTAATTTGTATTTGATCAGTTTTCAGTCACCGTGGCTATTTTACTTGAAATTTGGTCTTGTCTCCTCAACTGACTGAAATGTCCCAAAGTGTTGAGACACTGCCTTTTCCCTTTATTCCCAGTATGTAACAGCGACTCTGCCTGCTTTGTTTTCATATTCCTTGTACTTGAGGACATACTTTAAAAGTATACATATGAGGAAATTACAATTGTTTCAATGTATACCTCTTTAGAAGTCAAGTCATCCAAAGAGTATTTTGGTGGGTTGTAAAAATAGAATGCTTAAGCTATGAAGCAGTTTCTTGGGGTTTTTTAAAACTCTTTGGCTTTGTTGAAATAATCTTGTCACTTGTATTTCGTTGAAAAATAAAATCTTCATTAGATGATTTGAATTTTTAATATTGTAGTCTTTCGACACAAAAAAATGATGAAATAAAATAAATTTTTAAAAAATATTGTAGTCTTTCGGGAATGAGGTTAATAGACATGCTTTTAAGTAATTACTTTCAAAAGGCTCAGTGCTTTTAAAAATGTTTTCCCACTTTTCCTTTAAATTAGCTTGTTAAAATATTGTTGACTCTTAATTGTTAAAAGTCTGATGTAAGCCTTGATATGAAAAAGTGACGTGCTTGATAATTTATTTAGAAATGGTTATATTTGAAAAAGAAACTCCTTCCCATTTACCCTTCTGATAGCTCTTTCTAGCACAAAAGGAAATGAAAGTGTATCTTTGTTCTTTGTACATAAAATCTGCTAAAGATGGTATTTCTTCCAAATGAATGTTTTTATTTTCCAGATTTTGTTTTTCTCTAACAGGTCTGGTGGCACCACTAAGAAATGTTTTTGTATCTTCTTCAGGTATGTCGTTGTCTGCTGGATCTTCTCCTCTGCATTCCCCCAAGATCACTCCACACACTTCGCCTGCTCCCAGAAGGAGGAGTCACACTCCAAACCCAGCCAGTTACATGGTGCCTTCTAGTGCCTCCACACCTGTTAATAATCCTGTTTCTCAGACTCCATCTTCTGGTCAGGTGATCCAAAAGGAAACTGTAGGTGGGACGACTTACTTCTATACGGATGCAGCTCCAGCACCTGTGACTGGAATGGTATGTGGGCATTAAGCAGAGTGGAATACTCCGACCACAGTCCCTCTTTGATAGGAAAAAGCCCTAATTTCTTAACTTTGATGAGATGATCAGTCTCTGCCTAGCTCTTCTAGGTCATTTACTTCTGCATTACAACTAACTCTTCCAGAAATTAGGTTATGTTCTGGCTCTCGATTAGTCTTTTGGGATGTATTTTGCTTATTTGGTCACGTAAGTACTACTGTACTGGGCTGGGTGTTCTGTGACCTTTGTTTATACACAGAGATAGTTTTTCTCTTTAGTGAGAGGTTGGAGAGTATGGATGGTATTCTCCTCCCATGTGATTTATAGCCTCTAAACACCCATTGGAGGGTCAGCTGAGAGTGGGTTTCAGTAGTACATAAATTCACCACTACTGTGACAATGTGGAGATTAGATATGGCCCAAGTTTATAATATTTGTACCTTTGGACAGTCTGACTTAGGCACAGAGTAACCCTGAGGTAGTGAAGTCACACTGTGCCATCACGTGCTTGGTCCTGTTACCCTGCAGAAATAGATCAGAAGAAACCTTACAAATATAGCAGAACCACTTCTTGTTGACTGCCAGAACAGATGAATAGTCTTGAATAATAAGAACTCAACAGAGTTCTGTTAAATTTATTTTTAAAAAATGAGATATGAGGCCAGTGAAGGACAAATGAGGCAGAGGAAAAGGGAGCAGAGAAGGGACTTGTATAAGTAGAAGAATGAAAGATAACAAACTGGAGGCCAATTGAGTAATGCTGTGGTCATTTGCTTGAAAGGCAGATGGGCCATCTTGCTTTCTGTTGGCTTACCTGCTGACCTTACCATTAAGTGAGTCCTTACACATTTTGAGGCGTTTGCAGCAAATACATAAATGGCATTTTGTTTCTATTGGCCACAAAAAGCCCATTCTGAGGGACTTCTGTGGGCAGCCAGGGCAGCGCTTTTCTCCTTCACCTTCCGTAACTACTGTTCTTCCTCTCCCAAATTGCTTTATATGATTTCCCATAAACTGCAGAACTTTGCTTCCAAAGAGTCACTTTTTCTTTCTGGTTGGAACTTAAATTTTTGCCCTTTCTGAAGAAATGTTTTCTTTCTCAGATTTTTTAAATTGACTATTAAAATATGAGATGATTTGTTTTTAAAAAGAATTCATTCAGAAAGTATATTGGTCATAGCTATTCTCATTTAAAGATTAAAATTTTATCAAAACAGTGGTAACACTTATCAGTTGAAAAAGCCTTGGTCATTGCATCTCCCCCCCTCCTCCGCCTTTTTTTAGGTATTTCCAAACTATCACATTTATCCTCCAACTGCACCTCATGTTGCTTATATGCAACCAAAAGCAAATGCACCTTCTTTCTTCATGGCTGATGAACTCCGACAGGTATGCTTTCAGAACTCACCTAGAAACCCTTCCTATGCGCTGTGGGTAGAGACAGAACTGAAGACGCAGCAGACTCTCTTCAAGTTGCTGGACTGAAGAGAGAATTTATGACTTCTAGTTGGTGTATCTGTGTATGGATACCTGGTTCTAAAGAAAAGAGGAGTTATACGTTCGGATATAAAACATCAACTGCCTATTTAAATGAGCTACCTTTCTGCACTTCCTACCTTTTGGATCAAAAGGACTTCTTGAAGTATATAAAGAAATTGTTTTTTCTAGCAGTTAGACAACTTTTTGCTAGTATGCATAAGATAAGAAAAAGTAGTTCAAAAAGTTAGCATTTTAAAAGAGATTAGCTGAAATTTAAGTCTATACCTGGAAATTGTTTTATTTCAAGAAATAAGTGCTACCAGTGTAAGGTTTATAGGATGAATATGTGATCAGTTTGTTAACAGCTGTTGAGTTTTAACCACAAAAAGAATTAATCCTGTGCTTTGAATTATAACATAGCTACTGAACCACATCCTTAATTAAGGTCAGATTTAGCTAAGATTAGAGTAAAAATATTTTACCATGTTTAGAAATCCCATTGCACGATTTCAGCAGTAAAGATTGTGCATACCAGAAATATTCATATTTATGTAATTTAGTTAGGAATGCTAGATTCCAGAAGCTATGTTTAGATCTAAGTATTCTTGTTTCCTTTTTTTTTTTAAGGAGCTGATCAACAGACATTTAATAACAATGGCTCAAATTGATCAAGCAGATATGCCAGGTACAAAAGTAAACTGACTCATCTTATTTTGTGTGTTGTCCTATAGATTTCTGTGCATTGAAGTGGATAATCACTAAGAACAAATTTTAGTTGAAATCTATTTAGGAGTTCCAAGGTTGGGGGGAAAGTTTTTTCATTTCAGTCAGTTTACACATGACAATATCCAAGTTCATCAATACATTTAGATAGTTTTCTATTACTTTATTTCATTGTGGACTAGAATATTATGTCTAGAAACTTGAAGCATAGATATTGCTGCTGTTATTGAAGTTATATGCCTTACTTACTCCTCATAATAATCCTGTGGCATAAATAACTACCTGCCATCTCCATTCTACATATGGGAAACATGGAAATTTGTGGTAGTTAACTAAGTTAAGTTGGTTCCAACTCGTAAGTAACCACCCTCTATCAGATCTCAGAGGCTTAAATCTTTATGAGAAGAGACTGCGCATCTTGCTTCTGCAGAGTGAGTGGCTAATGGATTTGGACTCCTATTAACAGCCTCCTGTATGATATACACCACTGTCGGGGTTCCTTCGTTTAGGTCCAGTGGCTGTTAAACTGCTACTTGAGTCAGGATTTAACTCAAATTTTTCTGATTGTACCACAGTATTTCTAAAAGAGTGTTAAGATCTATCTTTACCTTAGCTTGCCTTTTGTATATATTGTTGTTAAGTCCCATCAAGTTGCCGACAACTTACCGTGACCCTATGAAAAACAGAACTGAACCTTGCCCTGTACTGTGCCTCTTCAACATCTCACATACATTATAACCCATCTTTGCCATTAATTCCTGTTTTTGAGAATTGTAAAAAGAGCAAAGGCTATGTGGAGACAGCCATATCAGACCTATACCAGTTTCATAAAAGGGTATTGTTCCTGTCAACAGCATCAGCAAAACAACCAATTCTTAGGAGGTCAGACACATCCCCAAACTCCTGCTTCTCTTTTTACTCATTCTGACACTAATCTTAATGCTTTACTGGGTCCACAATTCAATGTGAGAGCTCATAGACCACACAGAACCATATTTAGATTGGCAGTAAGATTTTCTTAGGAAAGCTTCTGAAACTTGTTTGCAGGTATCTCAGTCTTTAGGCCAGTATTAAAAAGCTCTCAGTCCTGCCAATTATGGCTCTTCCCATCCCTCTCCCCCAGGCCCTTCAACAAACTTGGTCAGAATGCTCTGTTTGCATATTCGCAGGCATCCACCTGGCAAAGTCATTCAGTGGCTAGGGAAGCCATTTAAGAATAATCCTTTAATACCACAGGAACCGTCTTCTCTCTCTCACACTCTCAGCCTTTCCCATCATGGTATGTTTTTCCAAGGCCTGGTTCTTCCTTAACAACATGCCCAAAATATGTGAGAACCAAGTTTTATCATCCTTGTTTATAAGGGGCAGCCAAGTTGTGCTTTCTCCAAGACAGACTTGTTTTTTCTTTTGAGTCCATGGGATAATCGGGGTATTCTTCTCCAGTACTACAGCTCAGAGGCATCTCTTCTGTCATCCTTATTCATTGTTCAACATCCAGGTATATAGTTGGCAATTGAAAATACCGTGACTTGACTCAGGCCCACTTTGGTCTTTAGCAATGTAATTTAGCAAAACTTTACAAATAATACAATGGGAACAAATTTACCATAGTGGTAACCTCAGCACCTGGTTCTAATCAGAGATTTAGCATAATGTGTGCACTTCTAGATTGTTGAAGAATTAAAATGAATGTCTGGTTATTAGGTCTTAAAACTCATGCTTCTAGTTTAGATGGAAAGTGGAGCATTTAAGCTGTCTTATGTGTTGAAGTTGGAGAATTTATTACTTCTTTTAACTTTTGTGTTTGAGACCCTAACATGGCAAAATGGGGAGGAGGCGGGCAATAGGCAGAAAGATTGGAAAACAGAAAATTAAGCTGTCACCTGCAGGCTATATGAATAGAGATTAGACAGTACTTGAAATAAGAGTTCAGAAGATGGGTGGATAGATTAATACATACCAGTTTTATTTCTTTTGAACTATAACCTAAAACAACCAAACTAGCCCCAGAACATGCCATCGAGTCAGTTTAGACTCACAGTGACCCTGAAGGACAGAGAACCATTTCATGAAGTTTCCTAGGCTAGAAATCCTTAAGGAAGCAGACTGCCCTGTCATGTTTTCTCCCTCAGAATAATTGATGGATTTGACCTGCAAACTTCTGATTCATAGCCAGGGTTCTCAGGATCAGTAGCAGATAACCTTAGTCTGAATTCAGGCTGCTGCCTCTAGGGGAAGATTTCCTGTATCTGTTGATGCTGGAGGAGGTTCTTGTCTTTTTTTCACACTTGTTTTCCCTTGTATCCAGGAAGTTCTCAGTATAGGGACCCCCAAGTCAAGGACACACTCAGTTCCTGCTCTTCTTTCTTGCTCTCTAGCTTTTTACCAGAATCTAAATGTAAATAACCCTGAGGAGACCTACCCTCAGATAAGGAAAATCAAATGTAAATACCACATATCACGCCAACCATACCCCTAAGGAGACTATCTTTAAGGCTAATTGTATCTTTTACAGATCCACTTGTAAGCCTGTCTCAGTGACATCATAGCTGGTTAGAATTGATAAGACATGGAATAGATATATAGAGGATCAGGGCCACAGTGGCTCTGTTTTGACTGTGTTAATTTGATGTTGTTGGTGTCAGTAGCTGATTTTTAGAAGTAAAGAAAGTCCCTATCTTTTCACCCTCTGTTCTTTGGAGATCTGCATGTGATCTGACATCTGCCTGATGTCATCTGCCTCATCTGCTGTACATCTACATCTACCCACACCCACACTCCAAGGCATCGATAATGATGAGGAGAGCCCTACTCCCAGGTGGAGTTACCTTCACAAGTACAGGAGTTGGGATATTGGGCACATATTTGGGAGACACACAATTTAATTCCTAAAAGATAACTTTCTATGATAGGGGGTTTTTGTTTGTTTTTTGTTTTGTTTTGTTTTGCTTATGGCTTGCTTTCTTTTAAAGATATAATGCTATGAAGATAAACATGTTAAACATGGTTACAAAAATTTTTTGCAGGTATACAGTAGTATAAAGAAAATAAAATTCTTCTCACTCAGACGTAACCCTAATGGATGTTTTACTCTATTCCCTTTCCAGTGGGTTTTCTGTACACATACAATTTGTTCAGTAATCTGCTTTCCAGTTAAAATGTTTTGAGCATTCTTGAGTTATTTAACAGTTCATGGAAGCTATTGGACTAGAAAATGTAATTGATTATAGAATTGAAACAAAAAGCTACTTGTTTCTCTGAATTGCAAATGAGTACAGTTAGACCATGTTCCAACCACTAGTGTCTGCTTACAACTGTTCCTCCTCTTTAGTATTTCCATATTTAAAAGTTCCACATCTGTTTACCCTATCTGCTAGTCTTAAGTATTTTCTGTTGTACATAGGGTTTTCAAAGGCCTGCTGTTTCGGAAGTGGATGGCCAATCCTTCCTAGTCTGTTTTAATCTGAATGCTCAGATTTACAAAAGTATCTGACAGACAAGCATTTTACAGAATAATGCAGATGAAAGATCTTTCCCAATTGTAGAAATAGCCAGTAGTTCTAGTTTTGTCCCTGCCCTTGACACGAGTCTTTTGACCCATCCCTTTCCCTGCTCCACCAGTATTCCTTTCTACTTCCACCTACTCCCTTCAACACCTATCTCCTGCTCTATACCCTGTGATGTGATAGCTTATATCTCAAGCTTTGTGGGTTTCTGTGATTCCAAATTCTTCAAAATGTTGCCGCTTTCTTAAATGCTGTGATCAGTGTCCCTTGAGTTTAGGGGCCTATAAGGCCAAATATAAAGCTCTAATATTAGGGAAATCTTATTTCAAATGGTTCTGAAGAAAAGTCTTTTCCCTTTAACTTCTTGTGCCGTGGACATCTTCCCTTCCATTTACAGCACACTGTGGTCACAATATTTCACAAGGGAGGGTGATCTGTCCTGTAGATCTGGTATGCTGTGTTCTTTTTCTGGCACCAAGGACTCCAGGGGGCACTTTGTTCTGCATGTGTACTCCTGGGACAGGCTACCTGTTTGGATGGTGGGGGAGCTAAGTTCCCCAGTTCCCACTCCTCTTCCTGGCTCTTCTGCAGCGTTCAGCCTCCCAGCCTTTTTTCATTGCAAAGACGGAGGAGGAAGAAAAGACCAAAATGGATGTCAGAAGAGATTGAGTATTGCACTGGAGCACAAAGAAGCCAAAGCAGAAGGAAGAAATCAAGACATTAAGGAGCTGAACAGGAGATTTCAAAAGGCTGCTTGACAAGACAAAGTATTATAATGAAATGTACAAAGAGCTGGAGTCAGAAAATCAAAGAGGCCAAACGTGCTCAGCATTTCTTGAGCTCAAGGAACTGAAGAGGAAATTCAAGCCTCGAGTTGCAATACTTACGGATGCTTTGGGCAGAATATTGAGTGATCCTGCAAGTATTAAAAGAAGATGGAAAGGGTATATAGAGTCATAATACCAAAAGGAATTGGCAGACATAGAAGAATTTAATGAAACAACATATGAGCAAGAGCTTATAGTGATGAAGGAAGAAGTTCAGACTGCTTTGAAAGAATTGACTAAGAATAAGGCCCCAGGAATTGATGGTATACCAATTGACATATTTTAACTAACAGATGATGCCCTAGATGTGCTCACCAAGTTGTGCCAAGAAATCTGGAGAACAACCACTTGGCCAGCTGACTAACTGTTCCCATTCCAAAGAAAGGTGATCTCACAGAGTGTGGAAATTATCGAACAATATCATTAATATCACATGCAAGTAAGATATTGCTGAAGATTATCCAAACATTACTGGAACAGCACATCAACAGAGAACTACAAGAAGTGCAGGCTGGGTTTAGATGGGGCCGTGGTACTAGGGATATTGTAGCTAATGTTAGATGGATCCTGGCTGAAAGCAAGGAGTACCAGAAGAATGTCTGTTTTTGTTTCATTGATTATGCAAAGGCATTTGTGTGGATCGTAACAAACTGTTGCTAATTCTTAAGAATGGGAATCCCAGAACACTTGATTGTGCTAATGTGAAACCTATACTTAGACCAGGAGGCAGTCGTCTGAACAGTGCAAGGAAACACTGCATGGTTCAGAATTGGCAAGGGTGTACGCCAGGGCTGTCTTCTTTCTCCATACCTTTTCAATCTTTATGCAGGACAGGTTATCTGGGAGGCTGGCCTCTATCAGGAGAAATGTGGCATCAGGATTGGAGGAAGAATCGTCAACAATCTGCGTTATGCAGATGACACAACCCTGCTTGCTGAAATTGAGGAGGACCTGAAGCATTTGCTGTGGAAGGTCAGAGACTGCAGTCTTCAGTATGGGTTGAGACTCAGTATCAAGAAAACAAAGATTCTCACCATTGGGCCAGTTGGCAGCATCATGATGGATGGTGAAGAGGTTGAGATTGTTCAGTTTTGGTTTGCTTGGCTCCACAGTCAACAGTCTTGGCACCCACAGCCAGGAAATTAAAAGACGTATTGCAATGGGAAAGTCTGCGGTTAGAGACCTCTCTAAAGTGCCGAAGTGCAAGGATGTCAGTCTGGAAATTAAGGTGTGCCTGATACATGCCATGGTCTTTGCAGTCACTTGCTCTGCATCAGAGAGCTGGACAATGACTAGGGGTGATAGAAGGAGAATTGATGCCTTTGAGCTGTGGTGTTGGAGAAGAGTATTGACTATACCATGGACTGCTAGGAAAACAAACAGGTCTGTCCTGGAGAGAGGGAAGCCGGCCAGCTCCTTGGAGGCAAGGATTCTGAAGCTTCGCCTGACATACTTTGGACATGTTACAAGGAGGGACGTCATGCTTGGGAGGGTGGAGGGTACAGCACAGGAGAGGAAAATCCTCTGAGACGGATTGATTCAGTGACTGGGGTAATGGGGGTAGGTGCGTCGGTGATGGTGAGATTGGCACAGGATAGGGCAGAGTTTAGGGCTATTGTACATAAGGTCACTGTGAGTCTCAGGTGACTCGACAGCACATAACAACAACAATATTTAGACCTGCCATACCTTCAAGACAGAAACCTGCCAAAGATGGCCAAGTTCCGTGTTTTCTAATAGAGCAAAAGTGTGACAGCTTTCCTCTGAGAGGGAAAAACACAAGGACAGAAAACACAGCAATGCTGTATCCCAGAATACTTACAGCTCAATGCCACGGAGGCCATTCCTTCTCGGAGCAACTCTGTAGTGGAGATTTGAACAGCCCAGCATAGTTCAAGGCTGTCTGTCTTTATGGGAGCAGATTGCTACACTGTCCCCACTCCATGATGCTGGGTTCACACTACACCTTCAGGGAGGCCTCCTTGAGGACAGTATGTTGTTGTTCTGTACCAATGCATAGTGACTATGTACAGTAGCCCTGAAACCTCTATCCTGTGCTTATTTTACTGTCTCAATCACACCTACCCTCATTTACCCCAGTCACTGAATCAGTCCATCTCATCCAAGGGCTTCCTCTCTTCTCTGCCCCTCTACCCTTCCAGGCATGACATCTGTCTCCAAGGACTCGTCACTCCTTGCAATATGCCCATAGTATGGCAGACGAAGCCTCAGAATTCTTTCCTCCAAGGAGCAGCCTGGTTTTACCCTTTCTAGAAAGAACCTATTCTAGCAGTCCATGGTATATTCAGTACTTTTATCTAGGACCACAGGCCAGAGTCATCAATTCTTTCTATCATCCCTAGTCATTGTCCAACTCTCTGATGCATAGCAACTAATTGTGAAGATTATGGCTTGGATCAGGCACACCTTAGTCTCCAGACTGACATTGTTGCCCTTTAGTACTCTGAAGAGGCCCTGACAGCAGATTTTCCCAGTACAATTTGTCTCTTGATTTCCTGGCTGCTGGTACCAAGAGGGTCGATTGTGGAGCCAAGCCACTAAAGGAAATAAACAGCCTGTAACTTGTAGAAACCACTTACTTGAATACATTATTTATAATGGAATTCTATATTTTAGTGCCTGATAGTATATCATGATCAAATTCCTATGCATCATGTATAGACTTTTGTTTCTTAGAGGAGCATGAGAAGCATTGTGGTAAAGTTTGTTTCTTCTTTATTCTTTTGTTAGAGATGAAAACTGTTCTTCCCCAGAATAGATGTCCTATAATGGTTTATAACCATTCCCCATATTAGGATTTACACTGCCAGCTGTGAGGTTTTTGGGTTTTCTTGTTTGTTTTTTTTGTTGTTTATTGTTTTGTGTTTTTTTTTACTGTTAATATTTTTGTTGTTGTTGTTAATAAGCTGCATCGATCAGCTTTATAAACTGCATATCTCTACTGCCTTGAAATAAAGTCCTTGTGTTTTACTTCATGAGCCAGAGCAAGGAGTTTTGATACAGATTACCAAATACACACACTGCACTCCCCAATTTATTGTTACATATTTTGAATTTCCTTTCACAATAAACCATGAGGATTAGTCTATTTAATTTTATTATCTAAATATAATTTAGGGAGCTCTGGTGGCTTAGTAGTAAGAGAACTGGCACTACCAATTTAAGGTACAGGCTAAGAATCCACCAGATGCTCCAGGGGAGTAAGAAGGACACTTAACTCCTATGTGATTTACTGCTTATGAAAACCCACTGGAGAATCCGCCGTCCAATGGTACACAAAAGCAGCCAACATATTTTTCACAAATAAAATGTATAAAGAAAAGACATCTTAATGAGCATCAGAATTCCCCAGTGGTGTAGTGGGTTACAAGTAGAGCTGCTAATAGAATGGTCTGCAGTTCTAGCTCATCACCTGCTCCGTGGAGAAAGAAGAGGATTTCCATCCTTGCAACCCCATTAATGGCTACCTTGTGTTGCAATTTACTTGAGGGTAGTGGCTTGGCTTTTGTATTTTACAGAATATTAGAATCAGAAATGTTAATTTTTCTTAAATGATAGCACAAATGGTTGCTCATAACCAAAAAATCAGAAAGTTGTATTGTGCTATAAAATATAGGAAATATCTTTGTATATAAAGGTATGATGCCTTACATAGCCAATATTTATTGATACTGAAGCCATGTTTTATAGAATTGTTGTATTCCATTGTACTAGAAATGTTCTGTAATAAAATACACACACACACTCTGTTATGTGAGTGGATTATAGTAGTTTTGAATTATCCTTTATTACAGTAAGAGATTTATGAGTGTCTGCGGTTTAATGTCCCCTTCCTGTGAATTTCCCTAGCCGTCCCTACCGAAGTTGACAGCTACCATAGCCTCTTCCCTCTGGAACCACTGCCACCACCCAACCGGATACAGAAGTCCAGTAATTTCGGGTACATTACATCTTGCTATAAAGCTGTAAATAGTAAAGATGACCTGCCGTATTGCCTTCGGAGGATACATGGTAAGCATAATGAATTATCTTCTTTTATACTAATTATATTGTTGACATAGTCAAAACTTCTTGAATCGATTTTATTTCTCTCATTATTAGACCTTCAAGGGCAGTTGGAAAATTATTTTACAGTGCTTGATAGTAATAGATAATGGATTTTTAAAAATATTTCTGATGGAATAAAGAGGAGGTGTCATTTCCACTTTACTGTAGTGGGAAAACATTCTTTTTCAGGTTTTCGTCTTGTTAATACAAAGTGCATGGTGTTGGTTGATATGTGGAAAAAAATCCAGCACTCGAATATCGTTACCTTGCGGGAAATGTTTACCACGAAAGCATTTTCAGAACCTTGTGAGTGACTGGCTTTGTCTTTCTGCTGGGGGGTTTCCTTTTCTGAAGCCAGATAGCAGTAACACGTGCTTGTGTTTTGTTTTAGCACTCGTGTTTGCTTATGATTTCCATGCTGGAGGAGAAACGATGATGAGCAGACACTTCAATGACCCCAGTGCTGATTCCTACTTCACAAAGAGAAAATGGGGTAAGGAGAGTGCTGCAGCAGCTTTTGCTTCATTCAGGAATACTGTAGTATTCTGTCATCTTCAGTTCCTCGGCTTATGTTTCTTTCTGGAGAAGTATTTCAGAGGAGTGGGGTTGATCTGCATTTCCTGAGATTGAGATGGGCTGTTGTGCACTAACTGATAGTTGAAATAACTAACTAGAAGTAATGATAATGATTTCTTTTTCAGTTTTTTCTTTTAATTTAGTAAAGTAAAGAGGAAAAAAACCTCTTTAGGCTCACCATGCAAAATACGTAAGTACTATGAATATTTTAGAGAACTCTGGTGGCCTAATGGTAAAGAGCTGCACTACCAACCCAAAGACGGGGGTGGGGGGGGGGTTGAACCCACCAGCTGCTCTGCAGGAGCAAGAGTGGCAGTGCACTTTACTATCTCTCAAAGCCTGCCATTGAGTCAGCTGTGAGTTGGTTCTGACTTAGCAGGATATATCAACAACTTGCTGAATATTTGAGTATATTTTTATTGGTTTTAAGGGGTACAGTTTCTGGTTCTTGATTTCTGGTTTTTGATCATAGATGTTCATTTTTCATAATAATGGTTTTCCACTAAGTTTTTAGATTTTCTGGCTATAACTTTATAATCTCCCTTGTAGTCTGTGACTGTATTATCATTGATGTACTGAATACTCTTTAACAATTATATTTAAGGTAGGATTCCATGTTACTTAAGGACTCAGTCTTCAAAATGGATTTTCAGTTGACTTTTATTTAAATGGAGTTCACTGGTAGAGAACTCAACTGCTATTGACTGGTTGATGGTTAGAGCCCATCACCTGATCTGTGGAGGAGACTGCTCACATAAAAACTAAATAATAATAAAAAATTAAAAAATAAAAATATTAATAAAAAAACTAAATAATAAAAATGAAAATCTTAGAAAAATCTCTGAGTGTATGGTTAAATTCTGCTGTGGCATCTATAGGTGGAATACACTTGGCATCAATGAATTGGTTTTGGAGTTTTTACTTAAATAAGAGTTATTTTCTTTCCTTAATGTGCTAGAAAACACAACACACACAAAAAGAAGTTTTCTATTTTAACCATATTTTCTTTTTTATTTTTAAAGTTGTTTCATAATACGTGTTTTTCAAAGAATCAAAATATATTCATTATCACAACATGTTTATTAAATGGTGTTTTCTTAGAAAAAAATAAATCTGTTTTGAGAAATCTGTTATTCATGTATTATATTTAAAGAAAATTCTCTGTGGGGGAGGGGAGGGCTGGGCGGGGAGAGAAGTGCAGCAATGAATGAATGGAAATCCAAAATCTCTGTAAATGTTCATTAAAATTATTAAAAAATAAAAATTAAGAAAAAAGTGGGGGAAAAAGAAAAGTCTCATTTTCTACTTTTTAGAACAGGAAAAAGCATTGTTCTTAATCATGGTTTTAAATTTTTTAAAGCGTTTTCTTAATTTTGTACTTCTAGAAGTTAAGTACTTGTGATGGGAAGAGTGACATGAGACCACATTATATATATATATATTTTTCAAACTGTGGTTTCTTTACAGACTCGAGTCATGATTTAAAAGGAGCTCTGGGTGACCTAGTGGCCTATGGCAGACTGCTATTCTAAAGGCACTTGATTCAAATCTACCAGCTGCCCCATGGGAGAAAGATAGGCAGTTTCCTCCCATGCAGTTTACTACTGCTGTGTGATTTACTGCCTTTGAAAACCATCTGGGTGGTCGGCAGTGGATAGATTCTTACTCTACCACATACAACAACAATGACAGTTAAAAATATATTGTAAAAAAAACCAAACTGTTTTCTCTCTGTTCACTGGGCACTTTACTTTCCACTTTCTGACAGTTAGAAAAGAAAGTTGTGGTTACATGGCTGTTTCATACTTCATGTCTGGTTGTACAGTATGATTAATTATCTTCCCTTTTGCTATGTCATCTGCAGACATATGCAAAGTTTTGTTGAAGGGGATGTGGTATCTAACTTCTCTAGATAAGTATGGCGGTAGTAGTTTAAGCTTATTTTGGTGCCAACACCTGTGAAATGACTGTTGGTTTTAATTTATAGCTGGGTTTCTCAACCTCAGCACTGTTGACATGTGGGCCAGATTTGTTGTGGGCACTCTTGTGCATCACAGACTGTTTATCTTTCTCCCTAACCTCTGCACAGCAAGCATCAGAAGCATGCCCTTACCCCAACAGTCAAAGCAGCCAAAAATGCCCCTCCCCAAAAGTGCTTGTGTCTCCAGGGAGGAGAGGGGACCCACCCTGTCTGAGAACCACTGATTTGTAGCATCCCTTCTTATTTTTAAAAAGATTTTAAAGATCCAGTGTGGAAAACAATGTATAAGAACTTTGTAAATAAACTAAAATTGAAAAAAGATTCTATTGTAATTGTTATGTCTTGGTATTGACAAATTACTTGATATATTTGTGTTTGCATTTTTCTACAGCTGTCAGACACTTTTCTTATATTTGAAGATACTGCTTATATCATAGTGACTTTCTTAGAGGTGAACCATACATGCTTTAATTCACAGCAACTTTTTTATAGGGTGATTCCATATTTTCCCAACATGTATATTTTTTTTAAAAAAGGGAAGAAGTGTGTCTTGTGTTTATATAAACTTTTAAGGACATAGATGAAAAGCTAATGTTTTCTTTACTGTTTTAATTTGTGAGCACAACATGAAGAAAAATTTAATATTATTATACAAAATAATGCTCATATTATATTGGTTTTTTTGTTTATTTTGCCTGCAAACCTTGCAACCATCTGATTCTCCTATGTTTACTACACTATGCTTGTTATTTACACAGATGTATTAGTATGAAAATACAGTAGTTTAGAAAAGAAAACTAATACTGTTGTTATGTGCTCTTGAATTGGAACTGACTCACAGCAGCCTCCAGAGGATTTTAAGAGGCTATAATTCACAAGAGAGTAAATTGCCTCTCCAATGGAGCAGCTGTTGGATATGAACGTCATGCCTTTGGATTGGCAGTTGCACTCATTACTACTGGTCCACCAGCGCTCCTCAATAATAGTAATAGTACCACCCCCTAAGGGTTGGTAAGAGGTTTGAATGAGTTAAAGAAACTTACACATAGCAAGCACTAGCTATTTACTATACCTATTCCTTCCTCTATTGCCATGTTTCACTGAGTATTTTCATTTACCCTCTTTAGCTTTACTTTGGCCTTTGGCACTAGAGCCACTTTTAGAATCATCTAACACTTCCCCCCCTTCTTCTTCATTTAAAGAGTATATTGTCCTTCCATTACACCTAAGGACATTTTTGAAAGCATTTTGAAAGTTTTGTTTTATTTCACACTAGAAATCTTATTACTCATCTGTGCCCATTTGTTATTATTTCTTTACTGCTTGGTACACAAAATGTATTACCAAAGTCTTGTTTATACCTGCATAAATACTTGTGCTTACAAGGTTGTATCTTTGAGATAGTTATAAATAAAGTCTGGTCCATCATGTTGGCCTGGAAAGGCAAATGAATTTAATGATAAATACTTTTATTTTTATAGTTCTCAGTGTCTCTGCCCTTCTTTTCCTCTAATGTATTACCCCAGAAACTATCACCAAGACACTTACAGGAGTTGGCAGATTCAGGATGTCTACTTTTAATGGTAGACCAGACTAGGTTTGTGTTTGTTTCATCCTTACACTTAAGTGACTTTCATATTTTTACCTTTATACTTGTGTAAGCTGGGTGATATTGTATCTTAACTGATCTGGTTACAACAGAAGAGGATGAACAGGATTTAAGGACTTCTTTTTCAGTATTAAACATAAGTGGTAGATTATTTTAGTTACTAGTTGAGCCATCCCAGACTCAGTGCAGTCTTAGACTGGAAGCTCCACTGAAATATGTTTGGCTTATTATTAATATACAAGCCTCCACTCAGAGACAGGCAATGTGAAACAAACTAGCTAGGATCTAAATCTAGTTTTGTGCATGGAGGGTAGAAGGTGAAAATCTTATCACTGAACCACTACTTCCTATGGAAATCATGGTAGAGACTTTTTTTTTTATTTTTTTTTTACATTTTATTATTTTTGTGTGAGTGTACCGTCAATTCAGATCTGACTGGTACAGGAGGAGATTGTCGCTCCTTCCCCGCAGAGCATCTGGTGGCTTCAAACCATGTGCCTCTGGGATTGTAGTTGCAGCTCCTTACCACTAGGCCACCAGAGCTCCCGGTAGAGACTCTTGATGAGTAGTTTGCACAGATTTAAATACTGATTAGGACAGTTCTTTGTTGGTTTTTTTTGTTTGGGTTTTTTTTTTTTTTAATTTTTGTTGTTTCATTTTAGTTGGCTACTTAAGTGAAGTTGTCGTCTTGTACTCTGTTTTCTTTATAGGTCAGCATGATGGACCACTGCCCCGACAGCATGCTGGGCTATTGCCAGAATCACTTATTTGGGCCTACATCGTCCAACTAAGTTCCGCACTGCGAACCATTCACACAGCAGGTTTGGCATGTCGAGTCATGGACCCAACAAAGATTCTGATAACTGGCAAGACGAGGTACTAGCACTTAGGAGTTTTGACTTCTTTACTCAGATCTGATCTTTAACCGCTTAGTAAACAAAATATGATGATTTGTTTTAATTCTGCCTTTTCATATACCCCATCCAGAAGAACTGCTGTGGCTTTGAGTTCATGTGTAAGTCCAAAACAAACAAACAAAAATGTTAATGTTTTAATGCAATGCCTGGTTATTAGCCAGAAAGCTTGGTGAGGGGTGGGGAATTGTGTGTGGTCATGCTGGGGACTAGAGATGTATTTGTAGCATGAGTCAGGGTCATTGGGGGAGGGAGAGTGCTGGATTTTGTCTTTGGGGGTTTTTTTCTTTCATTTTAATTTTTAGTGAAAATAAGCACAATAAAACCTACTCTCATCAGTTTCTAGACATAACAATCAATGATGTTGGTTACATTCTTCTCAGAGTATTAACCTTCTTGTTGTATCTGCTCTAGTTGTTTCCTTTACTTTCCTTGCCCAACCCACTCCCCAACTTCTCATTTCTGCTTTAAAATAGCTGTTGACACTTTGGTCTTAAAGATATTTTTGTGTGTTTTAAAGGAATGCAGTACTTAAAGATGACTATTTTTAACTCTCTGGGCTAAACAGTTACTTTGTTTAAAGGTGCCTTCAGAGGATAGTTTCAATCCAAAATTTGAAGAACAACTCAGGGTTATAGTCTTGGGGGATTCCTCCCAACTGTTCCTATAAGATTTGTGGAGCCAATAAATAAAATTAAGGAAATTAGTATGAGAGGGCATGTATGGCCTTTGTTATTATGTATTTGGATTCCTTAAAAAAAAAAACCAAACTGAAGTTATATTCTACAAATTTTTTTAATTGATATTTTAAAAAATGTTTATAGAGAACTTGGATTTCCATTCATTCACTGTTGCACATTTTTGTCCCTGTGTAATCAGGAAATCTAGATTCTGTCCCTAATCAGTATTGATGACTATTCATAATTTAGGTTTTTTTGGTCTCAAGATGTAAGAGGAAGTGGCTCATGTAGAAAATTAGTCCACAGTCAATTCCTTCTGTTACTCTTGGGTCATCTGAGGACTTTCTCAGCATAGATTGTTGAACTTTATGCCCAGAGTTTCTCACTCAGTGACTCTGGGTTGGAACCTAAGAATTTGCATCTCCAGCAGGGTTCCAGATGATGCTGACACTCTACAGCAGTTGTGGGTCCTTGACTTCACCAAGTTTTATTGGGGTTGCTATGCTTTTGAGAAGTATCTAGGGCAGCAGCAAGCATGAAGAGCTCTAGATCGGCTACAGGATTTTATGGGTTCATGACCTTCATTTCTCCCTGTGACTTCCAGATAGTTAGTTACTTTGTTTTGGCAAAGGCAGGTACTATTAGTGCGATCTATTTTTATTTCCCTCCCTTATAAAATGTCAAATATCCACTAGTATATAATTTTTAAAAGACTTCCTTTAATATATTTTCTTTAAATTCTCTGGTCTTTAAAGGTTACGAGTAAATTGTGTTGGAGTTTTCGATGTTTTAACATTTGATAACAGTCAGAATAATAATCCGTTGGCATTAATGGCTCAATACCAGGTGAGTAAGAATTAGCATGGATGCTTTCTTAGTAACATAAAGCTGGATCTTTCTTAAAGATAAACTTTTTAATTTTTAAATATTGCAAGGGTTTTATTCTGAGAGATGGTCACTTACAAACTTTGAAACTCCTTTTTTTCAATCACTGAGGTTTTTGGTATAGAACGTGGAAGTTTGTGATTTACAGAAATGATGGCAGTGTCAGAGATGTGGATTGTTGAAAATGAAATTCTGTGAATATGATCAGGCAATTTGTCTTCCATGCAGGTTATTTTATATGACATTTTAACCTTTTTAGCCTTCTATATTAAACTCTTACCTCTTTCACTCTTGGAAATCTTAATCATACTATTAACCAGAGGATTTAAGGAATTTTATTGAAGGAATATTAGTGGATTACTATTTGCTAAGGGTTGGGGTTTTTGATTGTTTCTCAGGGGGAGTATTGGTCAGGATACCGTATATATTATCAGAATTTTATTAAGTCTAATCTGCTCTTAATAGTGTTAATTTAGGTCCTATTGCTGTTAGTTCGTTCTTTTTTTTTTTTTTTTTACAATCTTTTTTTAATTGAAAATTTACAGAAATTTTTTATTTCCATTAATTTATTGTTGCACTTTTCTCCCTGCTGCCCCCCCTCCTTTTTTTGAAAATAAAAGAAAAATTCTTTCATTGTTTTACAGTCCCTCCCCCCAGGTCCACTTCACTATGCAGCCTTTGTTCTGGACTCCTGTCATGACCATAATGCCTACTCACATATCCCTTTTAAGTAGTTTTCTCCCTCATCTGTTTCAATGTAGTAAACATTATTTATCCTATCTTTCTCAGTCTCGCCTCAACCCCGAGGTCAGTCCTGTTTTACAACAGTGGCACTATGCAGTATTTGTCCTTTTGTGACTGAGATCTTTCACTCAGCGTAATGTCCTCCATGGTCACCCATTTTGAATAATATTGCATGAGTTCCTTGTTTTTCAGTGGTATCTCATAGTTGTTTTGATTTGCATCTCTCTTAGAGCTAGGGATTTTGAACATTTCTTCGTGTGCTTATTGGCCATCTGAATGTCTTCTTTGGTGAAGTGTCTGTTCATATCCTGTATGCATTTTTCAATTGGATTGTTTACTTTTATCTTGTTGTGGTGCTCAAATATTTTATAAATTCTAGATATAAGTCCCTTATCTGACATGTCATTGCCAAATACTTTTTCCTAGTCTGTGGCTTCCTTTTTTACCCTGTTGGAGAAGTTTTTGGATGTGCATGTTAGTTAGCTATTGACTAATCTGAGACCCACTGCCCATGATTTGCTTTTTTTTTTTTTTTTAAATTTAATTTTATAGTGGTTTATTTACAAAGTTCAGATACACCAGATCTTTCCCATTTCCTTTTCCCCGGCCAACAAATTGTATGACCCTGTGATTAACAGCTCCCCTCCTTACCCTTGCCCATATTCGCCCTTCTGCTTCCACCCTACCCTACCTTGGATCCTCCTCCTCACTCTACAGTAATGGTTTTTATACCATATTTGTCTTTATGGGACTGAGTTCACTTAGCATAATGCTCTCCAGTCTCTCCCAAATTAAGTAGTAATTTACAAAATCATTGTTTCTGCATGCTACGTAGTATTCCATTGTGTGAATGGACCATAGTTTCTCAGTCCATTCAGTTGTGGTTGGACATCTGGGCTTTTTCCATGTTCTTGCTATGGTGAATAACACTGTTATGACCATTAGTATACAAGTTTCCCTTTGTGACTCAATTCTCATTTTCTCAGGGTATATTCCAAACAGTGGAATAGCTGGGTCATATGGAATTTCTATGTTCAGTTTTTTTAGGAAGCGCCAAACTGCCTTCCAGAGTAGTTGTACCATTTTACAACCACGCCAGCAATGTATAAGAATACCTATCTTGCCACATCCTCTCCAACGTTTAATACTTGCTATCCTTTTAAACTTTGGCACTGCTCCTGGAGTGAGATGATACCTCATTGTGATTTCAATTTGTTATCTCTCTTATTGCCAGTGATTTTGAGCATTTTTTCATGTGTCTGTTGGCCATCTGTATATCTTCCTTTGTGAAAATTCTTTCCATGTCTTTTGCCCATTTTGTAATTGGGTTATCTGTCTTTTTCCTGTGGAGGCCCAGAAGCATTCTGCAAACTTTTATGAAACACTTGTCTGAGATGGAATTAACAAATGTTTGTTCCCAGTTGGTAGATTTTCTTTTCACCCTGTTGGAAAAAGTTTTTGATATGCATAGGGATTTAATCTTTAGAAGTTCCCATTTATCAATTTTATTCTCTTCAGATTGTGCATTTTTTTTTAAATTTTTATTTTTATTATTTTGTATGCGTGTACCGTCAAATCAGATCTGACTGGTACAGAAGGATGTTGCTCCTCCTTCTCCAGCAGAGCATCTAGTGGATTCGAACTGTGTACCTCTAGGATTGCAGTGCAGCTTCTTGCCACTAGGCCACCAGAGCTCCCCGAGATTGTGCATTTCTGGCTGTATTTGGCAGTCTCTTTCTACCATAGACTAGGCTAAGCTTGATCTCAGTTTGTCTCTGATGAACTTTATGGTTTCTGAGCTTTACTCTCAGGTCTCTGATCCACCTTGAGATTATTTTTGTATATGGTTTGAGATGTGGATCCTGTTTCCAGTTTCTGCAGTAGCAGGCCAGTTTTGCAGCACCATTTGTTGAAGAGGTTGTCAGTTCCCCATTTGATAGGTTTTATTTCCTTGTCGCATATCAGTTGACCAAATGAGTAGCTTCTGACGTAGGACTACCTGCATAGGTTTCTGACATTAAATTTTTACAGGAGATTGTCTCATCTTTCTCCTAAGGAGCAGCTTATGAATATGAACTTCTGACCTTTCAGTTAGCAGCACAACACATACTAGTCAAATAGAACCTATCTGCACGGAGTCATTAAGATTCTTATAAAGGATCTTTGCTTTTGCATTGGTTATTTTGTTTAGTTAACGTGGTTATTTCTAATAAGTACCTCATACCATTCAGCTTGTCTTACAGTGCTCAGTCCACATTAGGATGGCATGCACCTGTCATTTTAAGATACTCTTAGGTCTTTTTGAGAGCTCTGGTAGTTTAGTGGTAGGGAATCATGCTGCCAGCATGAAGATAAGTGGTTCAAATCCACCAGCGGTTTTGCAGGAGAAAGATAGTCACCTCCCGTGCAGTTAATGCCTCTGATAATCCACTGGAGGATCAGCTATGGTTTGGTTCTGACTTGATGGTACACGACACAACTACTGGCTGGTGGCCTAGGCCACAGGGAGTTGTGCTGCTAACCTAGAGGCCTCACCTCTCTGGTGGTCCAGATCCACAAGAGTCTTGTCCTGTAGGATTTACCACTTGGGAAGCCCAGTGGAACTTCTCTGTGAGTTGATTCCCACCTAAGGGCTGAGTTTGAGTTTTAGGCCTTTTTGTGTAAGACATTTTTCTTTTTCTGGAAAACTGATTAATTTGTGATAAGGCAAATCTCTTAATCATATGGAGAAACAAAAGAAAAAACAGCTTTCAGTTGCACTTTTTTTTTTAGCTTCTTTTGCAGTGAAAGAATTTAGTTCTCTTTCCCATGAGTGAAAATACTAGAACAAGCAGGAATGAGAACTGAGAGTATAGATAGTGTTCAGTATTACAGTTCAAGTGTAACTGCCTTCTTTGTTCCCGAGTTGCGTTAAATGCCATCCCATCTAATCCACAAGCACTGGGTCACATCCCATTGAAGGCATTTTTCACACTATCCTTCCCCTTCCTGTCCAGGTTAGGAGTACCATATGGTGAGTACAGGAAGAACCCACCAGGTCTTCTTTCCCAGCCGCTGCCTGGGGGCTCTGCCTCCATTTCACATCTAGCGTGGCGTGGTCTGAGCTACTTTCCTTCTTATCTTTTATATCTACCTTGCTGCTTTTCTCTGGTGGCTTTTAGGGTAGGATCCACTAGCAGCTGGTGTGGTGGACTCAAACCACTGACCTTTTGGTTTGTAGCCAAGTGCTTCACTCCTGCATCACCTGAGCTCTTTGACTGATGTTTAATACCTGGCTAACTGCCTTTAGTTGCTTCTTTCTTGGAATTGTTGTGCTTGCAAAAGTGACCCAGCTGATTGTTTTTTATGCTAATGATCTAGAAACCCCCAAAATACAACCCGTTGGGGAAGGTAAGAAAAAAAATGGGCACCTGATGAAGTCCAGAGCTGGTGGATCAGGAAATACCACTTTGCAAATTATGGATGTTTAACTCTCAAAGTTAGGCAGGAACACTTGATTGTTTGGTTTTATGGGGTTGTTATGGTTTGGTTTTTCTGTTGTTGTTTTTTTACTTATCCATCTTCATTTAATCTGGGTTATATTTTTATCTCACTTGGATCCACCTACCGTCACTAACCTTCGGCACCAGCAGGTCAGGATAGATCAGGAGATATATTGCTTTGGGCAAATCTGCTGTTGGGGGCTTCTCCAAAATACTGAAGAACAATGACATCAGTTTGTGATTCACAGTCTTTTTCAGTTACTTACTATGCATCTGAGAGCTAGACAGTGAATAAGGATGACAGAAGAATAATTGATGCCTTTAAGCTGTGGTATTTATTGCAAGAGAGTACTGACTATGACTGAACATGGAATGTCAAAAGAACAAGAAGATATGTCTTGGAAAAAGTGCAGCCAGAGTGGTCCTTTGAGACAAAGATGACAAAGCATTGTCTCATACTTTGGACATGTTGCTAGGAATGGCTGTTCTTTAAAGGGGATATAATTCTTGGAAAGTTGGAGGGTCAGTAAAAGAGAGGAAGACTTTCAGCAAGGTGAATTGACAAAGTCACTGCAATAATGGGCTCACATGTACCAGAGATAATGAGGCTGGGAGAGGTCTGTTGTTCATAGGATCACTGTGAGTTGTACTCAACTTGGTGGCACCTAACAACAACTTGTATGCTTTATTTCTAAGTAATTGAGAAACTCCATCTGAATCAGCTCTAGAGAGGTAGTGGAATGTACTTGAGATCAGACACTCCAATTTTGGGAAGTCTCATAGCCAGTGAGCTCTCCAGGGATCTGTTTTCCTGTCCCTGAGCAGGGATTGATGGAGTGTTCCAGGTGGGAGATAGAGTGTCCATTCAGAGAGGAGCCACTCAGTGAAAATTCTAGAATTTTTAAGAGTTGAGAAGCTGTGTGTTCCTACATGCTGCTGAAGCAGCTGATAAGTAGCGACAACACAGTTCTCAGTTTGCTTACACTGATTTCTCAACCTGCCTTTTCTGTGATCTCATTAATACAACTTAGAATGTTTTGCTTGGTCTGAAGAGTGGGTGGAGAACTATTTCCTGCAGTTCCTAGCTGGGCCCTCCAGAGGACAGGAACATGGTGGCCTCTGTCCTTACTGTCTGGCTCAATCTCACTGATGACCTTGTCCTGAGTGTTGCTGTTAGGAATTCTTGGCATCTCTTGTCTTGATCACTTCAGTGTCAAGTTTTTCTACTATGATATAGAATCTCCTGCTCTTAAGTGGTTGAGTCACAAATCTTAGTTGAGGATACATTTTAAAATTTAATCTTTTTTAGTATTAATGGAGGTTGGCTTGTATCTTATTATTTGAGTTGAAAGTTGTTCACGGTGGCCAGGGCTAAAATTTTTATTAGTGAAGATCTTGGTAATAAGATAGCTGCCCAGATATGCCAGAAACAAGACTTCTAGCCAACTCTTGGTTTCAACCCTGTCACTGATCAGAATCTCATGTTAGAGCTTTGAAAATTGCCAGACCCTTGATCTTAACCTAGACTAGTGATACCAGTGTTAAGAGGGGAGCAGGTGGTTGGGGAGACAGTGGTTTCTAGTTCTAGACCAGAGAACATAGGTGATTACAAAGCCTTGACATGTCTTCAATGTTAGAGACTATATACTCCAAATTAAGGTTTGATCATGAATGAGAGAACTTTTAGGATAAATCTTCACACTCCCTCTATGATCTGGGAGTCAAAGAAAGTGAGACCTGCATATAGTTTCTTACCATGAGGGGTATAGTGACTGACGTCACATTTCTGGTAAGAATGGAGAATACCAGCTTTATTTAAAACAGACAAAACTGCTTTTTAAAGTCCATTTTCATAGCTTGCATGTGAATAGCTTCATGATTCTTAAAGTATCATGCTAGACCTACCTAGACTCAGAATGTCTGGGGTTCATTTTAGGAGACTGAGGGGCCCCTTATTTGAGAGCCTGTCCCAGAGTGCTCCAGCCTAAATCCAGAGGGGGTTTTCCTTTAAGCATCAGTGTCAGTGTAGTCATTGGTACCTGTGAAATAAGAATTAAAAGTGATATTTATTCTTTCATGTCAGCAAGCAGATCTGATATCATTAGGAAAAGTTGTGTTGGCTTTGGCTTGCAACTCTTTGGCAGGAATTCAGCGAGAGAATTTACAGAAAGCCATGGAGCTGGTGACAATCAACTACTCCTCGGACCTGAAGAACCTGATTTTGTGAGTTTGACTGCCCTGTCCTGCTTCATACTGTGGGTAGGGGAGGGAAGAGGAGCTTTTTTGTTGCAGGTTTGGGTGTTGCTTATTTTCTTTCATAAAGGGCCTTTATTAGTGGTTCTGGTTATTTAGTTTTCATTATTTAAGGAGCTCTGGTAGTGCAGACTTAAAGAGCTGAGCTGCTAAGCGGAAGGTCAGTACTTAGACACACCAGCTCCATCAGAGAAAGATGGATTTTGGTTCCGTAAGCACAAAGCCTGGGTGACCTAAGGCTAGTGGATCTAGTGGGAAAGGAACTGTGGTGCCAATCCAAAGGCAAGAGGTTTGAATCCCCTAGCTGCAAACTGGGGGAAAGATGGGCAGTCTCCTCCCATGCAGTTTACAGCCTCAGAAAACCCTCTGCAGCATCACTGAGTTGGAATCAGCCCAGTGGCTCCGGGTTGGGCTTTGGTTTGAGAGAACACCAAAGAAAGACTGGTACTTTGCGTCAGTGAAGAGGAGAGCCTTAAAAATCCTCAGAGGCTGATCCGTTCGTCCTTCCAGGTCTCTAGAGTCAGAATTGCGAACAGTGGATTTCATTAATTAAGCAAAACACAAATAGCTTTCCATTTACATATTTTTATTTTATGCATTTGTTGGAGTAAATAAAAAAAACAATGTTTAAATTAGTCATTGATATTTAAAAAAAAAACTATTGTACAAATCCTTTTGAGCCACATTATTTAATAACTAGCCTGATGCAGCATTTACATTTCAAATTTGTTAAAATGGAGTATTCTGCTGTTGTATAGCATGGTTGTATTCCACAGCCATGTATAACTAGGGGCAGCCTTGCTAGAAGGCATAAGCATAGACCAATTTGCCATCTCAGAAGGTTCTGTGGGATAGTGCTACTCTAGGGTATGATGATATCTCAGTGAAAGCTGTCACAAATTGACATCAGTGACAATCCAGCTAGACGCAGCCATTCCAGAGAGTGTGTATGTAAAGGACTCAAGAATTTTGTTTCAACACTGTTAGCTTCAGAGACTCCTTGGCTGTAAGTTTGAAAGGACTGGTTTCGATCCCGGTCACCACAGTTGTCTTTGTCCTACCTACCATCTACCTAGCAACCCTGATCCTCATTAAAAAAGATGAGTTTTTCTAGGGAAGAGGTACCAGGAAGTCTCCTGAAAGTTACCCTATTGTGTACTTGAAGCAGCCAGAGCTTCTTGATTTATATCAGCAAGCATGCTTAGTTTCCAACTGTTTTTTTTCTAATCTTTGTCTCTGGATGAACCAGTTTCTTACTACACCCACCCTGGGTGTGGAGTTAGGGTGTTTTCAGAGGTGGAGGTCAGGCCCTTGAGCTTTGTTGTACTAAGTGGCTGGCTAGTTCTCATTAGTGACACTAACAGCATTCCAGTCTAAAGAGAAGATTTATCTTCTCAACGAAAAGATTTTTTTCGTGTATACCATAACAGTAATTCTGAGCTTTAGTTTGAAACATTTAGACTATTTCAGATAATCCAAATTTACAATCTTCTAATTGTCCTTTTTTTTTTTCCCTTTTTCAGAAAACTGAGAGTGTAGAGCATATTGATTGGAACAAATGGGCCATATGCTAATAACTAGAGTGAGTTAGGGAGCTCTGGTGGCCTAGTGGTAAGGTTTTACTTCTAACCCAGAGGCAAGTGGTTTGAATCCACCAGCTGCTCCAAGGGAGAAAGATGGGTAGCATGCTCTTGTGTGGTTTATAGCCTTAGAAAACTCTTGGAGGTTTAGCTATGAGTTGGTTTTCACTGAGCAACGAGAGAAAGAGAGTAATGAGTACGTAGGAGTTTATTACACTTGTCCACTTTTGTATTTCCCCCCTTAGTAAAAAAAGTGCATTAACAATAAAAGCCAATCTTTAATTATAACCACAAGTTAAGATTGATAGATCAGTCAATTGTGTGTGAAGCTCTTTCTGACTGTTTGATGTGAATTAACGCCACTTAATTTTGTCTAGTCCTATTAATTTGGTTTTGAAGATAGTAGTATTAAAGCGTGGGAGTTTTAGCTAGCAGTGATCCAAATACTTTCATGAACAAGGACTGTGGTTGGCTCTGCCTCTAAGTCATGCAGTCTGAGGGGTGCTCATGGCTTTGACTGTTACAGAGCAGATCACCAGCCCTTTCTTCCATGGTGTACCTTTCTTCTGTGGTGCTCTGGGCTGGTGTGAGCCAATGTTTGCCATTTGTGACACCTAGAGAACCTTAAGTATGAAAAACCCCAAACCCCACACCTACTGCCATCAAGCTGATTTCAACTTCTGGTGACTTTATAGGACAGAGCAGAACAGCCCCATTATGTTCCTGTAAGGTGTTACTCGTTACTGAAGCATACTGCCCCATCTTTCTCAAGTGCACTTAAACTTGAACCTTTTCTTAGCAGCTGAATACATTATTACAGTACCATTACCATGGTTTTAAAGTATTCAGTAGTTAGATCTAAATGTTAGTTGAGTAGTTCATATGATCGGCATGGATATAAATATTCATTTATTCAATGAAAGGTGGCTGTTCTGTGCTAGATGCTGAAGATACTGTATGCAAGGTGAACAAAGCTCCCTTATTGGGAACTTAACAGTCTAATGGGAAGAAAGAGTTGATAAGCATGTAAACAGTAAGGTATTTGCAGAGTGAATGAAGTCTTATGAAGAAAATCATAGCAAGGCAAGGGTGGAATGAGGTGGCTGCTGTACAAGGGATGAGAAAGCTGCTTTTTTTAATACCACAAACAGTAGCAAGCTCTTGAAAGTTCCAGGGATTAAGAGTAATCGTATTCTAACAGGTAACCTTTAAAAAGAGTGGTGCCTTCTTGGTCATTAACACGGAACACTCATTCAAAGGATGACTTGAAAACTATCTCAGATGTGTTAGAGAAGAAACATGTTTGCATTTTCTATATTAGCTCAACCAGAGAGAAGAAATGTAATTATTACCCTTTAAAAGCAGTCTGACATGCGTGAAAACGTTTTTGTGGGGATAGATAGATAGATAGATACCTCACAAACGTCATACATACATTCATACATACTAATATGATGGTATACAAATTGGATAGATACGGAGAAAGGATACAACTCAGGTGCAGCTGATTAAAGTGATAGTCTTTCCAGTTATCAGAGCTGGACAGTGAATAAGGATGACTGGAGAAGAGTACTGAATATCCTGTGGACTTTCAAAAGAATAAACAAATATGTTTTGAAAAAAGTGCACCCAGAATGTTCATTGGAGGAAAAGATGCAAAGCTTCATCTCACATAAGCTGGACATGCTCTTAGGAGAGGCTATTCCTTGGAGAGGGGCATCATGATTGGAAAGGGTAAAAGTGAGGAAGATCCTCAACAAGTGTGTCAGAGATGATGAGGATGGCACAGAGTAGGACAGGGTTCAGATCTGTTGTTCATGAGGTCACTGTGAGTCATACATGATGGCATCTAGCAACAGCAGCACTATGATAGCTGCAGTGGCTATTTGTCTGCAGGTTGTGGTGTCTTTGAGATTGAACATTTAACGTTCAGGTGATGCTTTCTTCTCTTGAACAGGTATTTGTTGACTGACCAAAACAGAATGCGGAGTGTCAATGATATCATGCCCATGATTGGTGCTCGATTTTATACTCAGTTGGATGCTGCTCAAATGAGGAACGATGTCATCGAGGAAGACCTCGCAAAGGTGACAAGCATAGTCAGTCCCACAGTGTACGCAGCCTGGAAACGGAATGTATCATTAAAAAGCACAGCTGTTACTGGGCTGACTGGATGGTTAATTGGTTAAAAGATTATTTGCAAGTGTTTTTGGTCCAGACTGCTGTTAACTTGGGCATTTTTTTTTTCTTTTTCATTCATGGCTTTCCTACGCTCATGTGCTAAAATCCTGATTTTTCATGTGTTAGTTGAAGAGAAAGGCCATTAACCAGAATGGACACATAGTAAAGAGGATAACCCAAGCACTAGGGAATGTTGGGTTTTATGTTTATATTCTATTAGCTTGACCATTAACTTTTTTCTTTTTAAAATGTTTTCTAGGAGGTCCAAAACGGAAGGCTGTTTAGGCTTCTAGCAAAATTGGGAACAATCAATGAGAGGCCGGAGTAAGGATTTCCAGTGTTTTACAACAGGTTTTCAGTCAGGGACACTAATTACACAATGACAATGCATGTACCTTGTTCTTGTTATATAGGGCGGGGGGAAGGTTCTTATGTGAAGTAACCATTATCAACCACATCTGCATTCCTCTCACATCCCAAGTTGAATTGGCTGTATGGACTTCACACTCATCCAGAGAAGATACTGGGTTAGAAATCACAATGTTAGTTTTAGAACTAACATCACCACTAGTCAGTCAGTCCACTTAGTTTGGTTAATTTAGAGACTTTATGCCATTACATTGGAGTCAATTCCTACGTATGGTTAATCCTCCATTAAGGTTCTGAGGCTGTCATCTTTACCAGAAAATACTGCCCATCTTTTTCTTGTGAAGCAACTTATGGATTCAAACTGCTGACCGTCCTTTGTTTTAGCACCATACACTGTGCATTACACAACCATGATTCCTTTGGAGACTTTGTTATTTGTTATGTAACAAATTTGTTAGGCTAAATCAACACTGACCCAGTGAGTTGCCTAGAAAGATGAGAGATTGCCTATCTTTATTCCATGGAACATTGGTAGATTTTAGCTGCGTGCCTTGGGCTGGTAGTGCATCTCTACCTCTAAACCACCAGAGCACTTTGAGACTTAGGAAGTCTCTAATTGCATGATATACCTCTTAATGTCTATTGAAGTACATGATTTTTATTCACTGTCAATGACAGTGAAAAAGCATCACCCTCTTAGACTCTGAGATTTACTTTTCCTTGTTAAATATAGTTTTAGCATATTTCATAACTACCGAAGAGAGCAGTATTGCATCTGTTGTGACTGTACCATAAATCACATTTACCATTTATAAATAAAGGTGATAAAGACCAATTACCATCATGAAGAGGTTTCGGTCATTATTGGGTTCTTTACCATGAGGTTCAAGGTTGCCTTCCGAGCCAAAAGACTAATTTTTTTTTTAAGACTAATCCCTTAACATTTTTTCCAAATAAAGGCAGTTTAGCCATGTTTTAAAAATTATTTTCACTCTCTTCTGGTATTTGTATCTTTATTTTAAAATACACACATTGGTAAAACTGTTTGTTGATTCTTCTCTACCTCCACTCCAATTTTTAATTCTGATCCATATTTTACACTGTGAAAGACAAGCTTTAGTATTTTACTAGCTCAACTCTTAAAACACATAGATTTTTTTTTCTGCCACTCTGTTGGTAAACTGTACGTAAATCTGTGTTGAGTGTTGACCCTGTTACGATTAAGTAAATACTGTTTACAGCTGTACCATATAGTAAATCGTGATGTAGTTTGCTTTTTTCCCCATTTTGTTTTCCTCTAGTTAATAATTATCATATGTAAAAAGCTGCCTAAGTGTGTGGGGAAAATATACTATCAATTTATAAACGCTCTTCTGCCAAAGTTATAAAATACCTTTCTTTTTTTTTTTCTATAATTATATTTTATTAATTTTCATAAACATTTACAGAGATTTTGGGCTTCCACTCATTCATTGTTGCACTATTCTCTCTACCCTCCTCCCAGTTTGTTCTTGTCCAAATGCCACAGTGCTTGTCAAAGCCAGTTCTGATCAATCTTCTTTGTCAGTGTATCCTTTGCCATTCCCTATCACTCCTCCCTGAGAGAGACTTCACCCTGAGTCATAAGGAAAAGGGCACGGCGTATTCTCTTAGCTACTTCCTGCTGAAAAGGGACGCTGTGGGTTTCAGGGTGAAGATCTTCTCTCACTACTCTAAAGGGCCCCTTTGGCAGTAGGAAACACATAGACTATTATGGAGATTGATTTTGGAATTCAGATGCACTCTTATTGATTGTGCTTGGCTGTACATGTACATATCCTTGAAGATGTATCATGGGGGTGTTGCAACCTAGAAGACACAAATTTGACTAACAAGTTATAAGTACATGAGTCCAAAAATTATGGAAAAGTAAAAGAAAAGATTCTTTCATTGTTTTACAAACCCTCCCCCAGGTCCCCTCCACCATGCAGCCCTCGCTCTAGTCTCCTGTGATGACAGAAATACCCAGTTACATCTCTCTTTTAAACGGTTCTCTCCCTCCTCTGTTTCAGTGCAGTACACATTATTGAACCCATCTTACTCAGTCTCTCCCCAGCCCCAAGGACAGTCCCATTCTACAACAGTGGCATCATGTAATAATAAAATACCTTTCAGTGTTATCCCAGATAGTTCCTCCCCCCCTTCAGAAAAAGTTCCTCTGTGTTGTTTTCACTGTCAGCCTGTTTGGGGGTGAGTGGGTAGGGGCGGTATCTCTTTCCTTGCTGTGTGCCGTCAAATAGGATCTGACTGGCACAGGAGGAGATTGCCCATCCAGAGCACTTGGTAGATTTGAACCATGTGCCTCTGGGATTTTGGCACAGCTTCTTTCCACTAGTCCACCAGAGCTCCCTCGAGAAAGGTGTTTTATGAATCCATGTAAACCTGAAAATATCGTTATTCTACCATCACACTTTATAGATAGAAAAATGGAATCAAAGATGCTGATTTTCCCAAGACCATTTTCTTTTTCATTATATACTATGCCTTTCTTTAGGGTCACTCTGAAAAGGAAAGGTCTCAGTAGCCATTGGTTTGATTTTTTTATTAAAGTTTATAAATATTTCATTTCATCTTCACAATCACCTTGTGATGTGGAGATACTGTTGTTGTTCCTATTCAGCCTGGAGAGAGATCGAGGCATAAAGAGAGCGGTCATATAACTTGTTCAAGGTCACCTAGCTAATATGTAGATACGTATTTGAAGTCGGCTTGTGCTCTTGACATTCTTCATGAGCCTCTAACAGGCTGCCCCCTGGCTGTGCTGTGATTTACGTTTCCAGGGCTGTCAGGGGGCACCGATTTCCACCGCTGTCCCCTGCCCCCCAAGTCTTTTGCTGTTATAAGCAGTACTTCAAAGACTGACTTACTCAGACTGAATGGTGTGCATGCATGTGCAGATACATCCCCAATTGTAGTTGCTAGGTAAGTGAATATGCACTCTATAATTTGATAGCTCATGCAGGTTTACCAGTTTAAAATGCACCAAAGTGCCTAACCAGCAGTATAGCTCTGGGACTTTTGTCTGTCTTGATAGGCGAGAAATGGAATCCCAATCAAGTTTTATCTTGAAGTTCCCTCTTACTAAGCATTGTTGTCTGTCTCCTTTCTATCTGTTCAAGACCTCTGTCCACTCTATTCTTTATTTTGGTTGCTTGTTTTCCTAGTAATGTTGAGGGGCTTGAATGATCTACTCTTTGTAAGAATGTGTTTTCACTTTGTGATATTGACTTATTTTTTTCTATGAAGACATTTTTTTCTCTGGTTTATCAAACTACTTTTATGCTTCTGGATTTTGTCTCAGAAAGTTAGATTTTCTCCTCAAGGATTGAAAGCATCTGTCACTTCTGAAATATTTATGGCTTCCATTTTTCCTCCTGCTATTTTAAAATGTATTAAAAATATTTCATATGGTTTATATATTTAGCATTTACATAGGGTGAAAAGCATGAATTCAGATCTTTAATAATTATTTCCAGATTATTTAGTAGTCCACATGCTCCATATTGAATATTTTTTTTCTCAGTGATTTTAGGCACATTATTTTAATTATTGACATTTGTAATTCTAGTAGTCTTTGTTGTTGTCCATCTTTAGCCAATTGTCTGTTGTTTTAATGGTTTTATTTTCTATATTAAGTTCCAGAATCAGCTTGCTTAGTTAGATAATACATGTAGTAAAGCTGATGATGTTTTTACTGGGACAGCCGTAATACATTGCACTTATTAATAAACTAAGGAGATATTTTTATTTTTAATAGTGTGTCCTCTTAAGGAGGAACATGGACGATCATTCTCTAGGTCAACTGGCTGTGTTCTTCAGTGGTCTTTATGTTGTTCTTTATACTAACCAGAAAGTTGTTGGTTTGGACTCTGGCTGCTCTGTGAGAGAAAGATGAGGCAACCTCCTTCTGTAAAGAGGAGCAGCCTTGGAAACCCAGTAGAGGGTTGCCATAAGGCATAATTAAACTTGATGGCAGTAGCTTTTGGTTGTGTAGTTTTAGCATACTAACTTTGTTAATTTTTTTTTCTCCTGTGGCTATTATAAATGATTCTTTTCCCATCTTCTTACTGCTTATTATTGGTATACATGAAAATGACCAAGTTCTATAAATTTATAATGTGATGGCATAATGTTCAGATAGTTTTTCACTAGATTGTCTTGAATGTCCCAAGCATCACTTGGGTTATCTGCACATTACATTATATTTTTCTCTTGAGTGGTTAAGTTTAACCATTTCCTTGTTTCCTTCTGTGATTGAAGCTGAAATAGAGAGTTTGCTTGAAACAGATGTACGAAGGGTGATGACACCTGAGGAGTAGGACGTTAAAACAAGAAGTCAGGTGCTTCCACGCCCATGGAGATGTTTCCCAAAACAATCTGTCATTGATTTGTATATTATAAGATGTGAAGAACATTAACCTCTTTATTATTGGAATATTCTTAAAAACACTGCATTCGTGCATACACACACACAAGACTCTTAATTTCTTATTTATTGGAGGAAAAAAGACTTTATAGTAGTTTGGGATCTGAAGAATTAGCATGTGACGTATAGTATCAGTTGATGTGAAATATTAAATTCTCCCAGGTTTCAAAAGGATCCTACCTGGTCGGAGACAGGAGACCGTTACCTGCTGAAACTCTTTAGAGACCATCTCTTCCATCAGGTGACAGAAGCAGGTGCACCCTGGATTGACCTCAGTCACATCATTTCTTGTCTTAACAAGGTAATTGTTACCTAGATTCCTAAGGTCATGCTAGCTAACCATTTGTTACATCACATCTTGTATAAACACTAAGAGACCTAAGTAATCAAGTTGTACTGATTACTTGATTCACCTAGAGAGGCATTTTACTAATAATTATTAGTTACTCTTCTATTTTATAGAATATGTAGAACACTTTTTTTTTCTATAATTATATTTTATTAATTTTCATAAACATTTACAGAGATTTTGGG